TTATTATATAATATATTACTGACATATATTATTTATATATTTTTACTTTATACATATATATTTTAATATATATATATATATATATATATTACTTTAGCTTACATCCATGCTGTCTTTCAGAGTCTTTTAAAATGAAGGAGATTAAGACATTTGTCCAGTAGCATAAATCATAATGAAATTCTGAGTCCCTTTTTATTGACAAGGCAAAGATGATTTTACTTATCTTGAGAAGAGAGAGCAGAAATGTAATGTAGGATGACAGGATAAAATTCTGTGTAGCTTACAGCAAAAGGCACCTCTTTTCATCTATCAACTGGCACTTTGAGAACAGTGACCCAAATCATTCATGTTGAGATAACTGTCAACACTTCACAATCGAATTACCTTAAATTGTTTCAAACTGCTGAGTACTTTGCCAGTTTCTCTTAAACGTGCTGAAGGATCAGACACACACTTTTTGAAAGCACGCTACCCCACTCCCTCAAGCTGAAGAATGGATTCATGACTTGCTGGTATGCTTTTGTTTTTTGTTTGTTTGTTTTGTTTTTTTGGTTTTTGTTGGTTTTTTTTTGTCTCCACAGTGTTTTCAAACTCAAGGAACACACACACACACACACACACACACACACACACACACACACACACACACAGGGCTTGTCCATTTGGCCACCTGTAAGTTTTAGAACTCAAATTTGCACCTTTAGTCCGATTACGTAGCCTGAATCAGGCCACATATCCCTGAAGCTTTCTATTGAATAGAGAATTAAGAAGCTATCTGTGTTATTACTGAAAGACTCACAATTTATGGTAACCGGCTCCACCATGGTCCCTGTCATGTATGCTAGGCTAAACGAAATCGTGTAATGCGAGACCTTCCACTACTTTCTAAAAAGTCAGACTTCTGTTCAGATCCAAGACTCCTCGGGGATGCTGGGAATTTGGTCTAGAGATGACGGCTGCTGTCTGGAGAGGCTCTGCTGGTCTCCTACTGCCTGCCATCCTTCTCAAGATGCCTCTCTCAATGTCTCTGATTCTCTCTCTCTCTCTCTCTCTCTCTCTCTCTCTCTCTCTCTCTCTCTCTCTCTCTCTCTCTCTCTCTCTCTTCTCTCCAGGCTTTAAAGGGAATCTCCTCCCTCCTCCTTTGTTTTAGGGTCCCATTATGTTTAGGTTCTCTGTATATTGTAATGTTTCTAGCCAACCCTCTTTTTTTTCTCACCATGATGCCCGGTCATGTCCTTGGGGTTTTCCTTATTGAAGGAAGAAAATAAATGAATCTTGTTGAAGCTTGTGTGGGCTTCTTTGGGGTCTAGCTGCTGTGGTGATCTTCTTATATTTAGTACCCAGCTGTTCCTATCATTCTTCTTGACACACTTTGTTATTCTTTACAGACTAAAATGTAACGGCGTTTGTATACTTTTAATAGGATGCTGTAGACTAAAACAGGATAGGAATTAACCAGGAAGAAAATTTCTTGATTGATAAATGCCATTTTATTAGCAAGGAGGGGTCAGAAAAATAGAACAAGTTAAAATTATTAGGAAAACATTCTAAGACAACTCCCAAAGTAGCTAGGACATGTGTTAGGATTCAAATGTCAAAATTAAGTATTACCCACTTAATCTACAAATAAAGAGAGAGAGAATCCAAAACATATTCTGTTTAGTATAGACATTTCTACATTAAATATTTGGCCATTTGTTTTTCAGAAAGTGATACAGCAACTTTTAATAGTTCTCGTTATGCAATGGCTAGAAAAATCTCAAATACAGCTAACAGGCCATGCAGCAGCTAACAGGCCATGCAGCAGCTAACAGGCCATGCAGCAGCTCAGCGAGCACCATTACACTGTTCTGTAACAGAATGTGCCTTTCATTTCATTGCAGAAGTGACAAACTTGTATTTTAATATATTACCATAGTACATTTTAAAGTTCCCTCCCTCTCTCTCTCACTCTTTTCTCTTCTTCTCTTTTCTCTCTCTCTTTCTCTGTCTCTGGCATCTACTTCTG